TAGAGAGAGAGAGAGAGAGAGAGAGAGAGAGAGAGAGAGAGAGAGAGAGAGAGAGAGAGAGAGAGAGAGAGAGAGAGAGAGAGAAATATATCTCTTACGTGTTTTAAAAACGGGTTGAAGTTAACTTTAAACAGTTTTTACATAATGATATTAACGCCCTTCAACTACTAGATCTAGCTAGAAGTTTGTCTTTCGGAATCTCTTTGAAAAGGCTATCTTAACTCTAGAATGCAAGATAAAAGTTAATTTCGACCCCAACACCCCACCCCCACCCCCACCAAAGGAAATAAGAAAATCAATTCTTAAAAGCAATCTTTGCACATAATGTCACGGCGACTCAAAAGTGGCCCCAAGCAGAGCAGGAATCTGGATACGTTATTGTAAGAGAGTCTATTTTTACTTCTTTCATGAGGGCGTGCCACAGTCCGGCCAAAGAAAAACCGCGGGCTGGCTGGAATATAGGCAATCTTAAGATTGCGCGACGCGTTTTAACGACCGGTCAGTTGCGCGGAAATCTAAAGATTGCGTTAATATTTTATATTTTTGAAGACCTCACAAGAATGATACAATGCCAGGTATCAAACTCGAAGTTCACAAAGTACATTTAATTTATTTCATATTTTTTTAATAATGAAAAAAAAACCCCATCTTTATTCTTTTGCTCACATCAATGAACATTCATATTTTCAAAAGTGTAAAAATATGAAAACTAAAACTAGAATTTCAATTAACGTATGAAACTGAAGAGCCCACAAGAATGATACAATGCCAGGTATCAAACTCAAAGTTCACAAAGTACATCTAAGTTTGAAATCATTAGAAAAAAACCTCACTTCCATCTTTATTCTTTTACTCACATCAAGGAACATCCGCGTTTATTTTCAAAAATGTAAAAATATGAAAATTAAGATTAAAATCAAGATATGAAACTGAAGAGCCCACAAGAATGATCCAATTATACGATCTTAAAAAGTGCCGAGCAATCTTAAGCTTGCCGCGCAACTATAAAATCATTAAAACGCGCAGCGCAGTCTTAGGATAACGACGATCGGTAAATAGCGCGGAACAGTATATTAGTACTCTTTTGCCCGCTGTACTTTGTTTTCACTTCTCTCTTTTTTTCCTTTTTCTTCTTCTCCTTCTTCTCCTTCTCCTTCTCCTTCTCCTTCTTCTTCTTCCTTCTTCTTCTTCTTCTTCCTTCTTCTTCTTCCTCTTCTTCCTTCTTCTTCTTCCTCTTCTTCCTTCTTCTTCTTCCTCTTCTTCCTTCTTCTTCTTCTTCCTCTTCTTCCTCTTCTTCCTCTTCCTCTTCTTCCTCTTCTTCCTCTTCTTCCTCTTCTTCCTCTTCTTCTCCTTCTCCTTCTCCTTCTCCTTCTCCTTCTCCTTCTCCTTCTTCTCCTTCTCCTTCTTCTCCTTCTCCTTCTTCTTCTTCTTCTTCTTCTTCTTCTTCTTCTCTCTCTCTCTC